GGATGTTTTATGAAAATCAGTTCGAAATTGAGAAATCACAACACAGTTTTCTAATTTTCAATTCTGCCCAAATTTCCGCTCATCAGCTACGATATACAGGAAATTTGGGCTGTTTTATAGAAAATCAGTTCGAAATTGAGAAATCACAACACAGTTTTCTAATTTTCAATTCTGCCCAAATTTCCGCTCATCAGCTACGATATACAGGAAATTTGGGATGTTTTATAGAAAATCAGTTCGAAATTGAGAAATCACAACACAGTTTTCTAATTTTTAATTCTGCCCAAATTTCCGCTCATCAGCTACGATATACAGGAAATTTGAATTTCGGATAAGTTTGGAACAGAAAAATTGGGCTGTTTTATAGAAAATCAGTTCGAAATTGAGAAATCACAACACAGTTTTCTAATTTTCAATTCTGCCCAAATTTCCGCTCATCAGCTACGATATACAGGAAATTTGGGATGTTGTATAGAAAATCACTTCGAAATTGAGAAATCACAACACAGTTTTCTAATTTTTAATTCTGCCCAAATTTCCGCTCATCAGCTACGATATACAGGAAATTTGAATTTCGGATAAGTTTGGAACAGAAAAATTGGGCTGTTTTATAGAAAATCAGTTCGAAATTGAGAAATCACAACACAGTTTTCTAATTTTCAATTCTGCCCAAATTTCCGCTCATCAGCTACGATATACAGGAAATTTGAATTTCGGATAAGTTTGGAACAGAAAAATTGGGATGTTTTATAGAAAATCAGTTCGAAATTGAGAAATCACAACACAGTTTTCTAATTTTCAATTCTGCCCAAATTTCCGCTCATCAGCTACGATATACAGGAAATTTGGGCTGTTTTATAGAAAATCAGTTCGAAATTGAGAAATCACAACACAGTTTTCTAATTTTCAATTCTGCCCAAATTTCCGCTCATCAGCTACGATATACAGGAAATTTGAATTTCGGATAAGTTTGGAACAGAAAAATTGGGCGGTTTTATAGAAAATCAGTTCGAAATTGAGAAATCACAACACAGTTTTCTAATTTTCAATTCTGCCCAAATTTCCGCTCATCAGCTACGATATACAGGAAATTTGGGCTGTTGTATAGAAAATCAGTTCGAAATTGAGAAATCACAACACAGTTTTCTAATTTTCAATTCTGCCCAAATTTCCGCTCATCAGCTACGATATACAGGAAATTTGAATTTCGGATAAGTTTGGAACAGAAAAATTGGGCTGTTTTATAGAAAATCAGTTCGAAATTGAGAAATCACAACACAGTTTTCTAATTTTCAATTCTGCCCAAATTTCCGCTCATCAGCTACGATATACAGGAAATTTGAATTTCGGATAAGTTTGGAACAGAAAAATTGGGCGTTTTATAGAAAATCAGTTCGAAATTGAGAAATCACAACACAGTTTTCTAATTTTCAATTCTGCCCAAATTTCCGCTCATCAGCTACGATATACAGGAAATTTGGATTTCGGATAAGTTTGGAACAGAAAAATTGGGCTGTTTTATAGAAAATCAGTTCGAAATTGAGAAATCACAACACAGTTTTCTAATTTTCAATTCTGCCCAAATTTCCGCTCATCAGCTACGATATACAGGAAATTTGAATTTCGGATAAGTTTGGAACAGAAAAATTGGGCTGTTTTATAGAAAATCAGTTCGAAATTGAGAAATCACAACACAGTTTTCTAATTTTCAATTCTGCCCAAATTTCCGCTCATCAGCTACGATATACAGGAAATTTGGATTTCGGATAAGTTTGGAACAGAACAATTGGGCTGTTTTATAGAAAATCAGTTCGAAATTGAGAAATCACAACACAGTTTTCTAATTTTCAATTCTGCCCAAATTTCCGCTCATCAGCTAGGATATACAGGAAATTTGGATTTCGGATAAGTTTGGAACAGAAAAATTGGGCTGTTTTATAGAAAATCAGTTCGAAATTGAGAAATCACAACACAGTTTTCTAATTTTTAATTCTGCCCAAATTTCCGCTCATCAGCTACGATATACAGGAAATTTGGATTTCGGATAAGTTTGGAACAGAAAAATTGGGCTGTTTTATAGAAAATCAGTTCGAAATTGAGAAATCACAACACAGTTTTCTAATTTTCAATTCTGCCCAAATTTCCGCTCATCAGCTAGGATATACAGGAAATTTGGATTTCGGATAAGTTTGGAACGGAACAATTGGGCGATTTCAGAAAAAAAAACCTTGTTATTATTTTTGAATGATAAATCTCACTGTTTTCTGTGATGTCTTTGCTCATATAGCAATGATGTTCTATTGGATTGTTCGATTGGTTGCAGGCTGATTGAGTCTGAAAAATTTTCGAATCGGTAATGTTGACCGTGTATCATTTTTTTTTATCTGTTTTCACCTTCAAGTTTTTGTTATCATGATCCAGTGTAAGATTCATCAGATAAACGTTCGAAATATCGGTAATAATACCGGAATAGCTTTAGTAGAAAAATTCTGGAAATATAACAATTATTCGTTGCAATGAAGAAATTTCTAACCGAGAAGACACACATAGAGGCCGGCATTCAGTGAGCCGTCTGGATAGATTCGAATTTTTCTGCAATGGCTAAATAAGTAGCACCTCATCGTTCTTCTTCGTGACTTTCGTGGCAAAAATGAGTTTTAGGTGTCTTCATGAGGCGTATCCATTCTTATGATAACAACATATCAACGGCGATGCTGATCAATCTCCGGATTAGCAAGCTGCCAAAACTATCGCAACTCCAACAAAGTTTATAACGAAAATCTGACCGATGAGAAGTCACAAGCTGACAGCCGGGCAGCAACAGCCAAAAACTTCCAATAATCTTGATCAATGTCTCAGCTTCTCCACCAGTCTCTCCTCTGAAAATTGTTAAAGATTGTAAACTGATATGTTTTCATGTGATTCTTCAAAAAAGATAATAATAAGCTACGATCTAAAACGAACTCAAAAATCGGAAAAAATTTAGCCTCGAAAATAGAGCGATTCGCGAGAAAACTAATTCATAGGAGGAAAAATATTAACTGAATGAAATAAATTCTCGAAATGTGTCATATTACCAACGGGTTCATTAGCAAGATAAATTGAAATGTAACCGGTGAGCCAAGTCGGACAATTGGCTTAATTTTGGAACCCGCAGAAAGGTGGGCGTAAGAATGCGATCCTGTCCTGCTAACGGCTGATAGTTAGAAATAATATTCATATGTCCATATAGGGTAACAAAAAAAGAATATCGAAAAATTTCAAATAGAAAATCGGGGCAGCGAATGAGAAAGAGCGGGTGGAAAAGCAAACGATGGGACACAAAAAGTATGGGAAACTGGGAAACAGAAGACAATAAAAAATCATCACTTATCAATGGGCTGTGAAATTTTAGGATAACTTTTTTGAGATTCGGCTGGTTTTGGGAGAGCAACTGGAATAACGTTTGATGAAGTTGAAGAAGTAGATTGTGAAGCAAAGGATGTTGTATCTGAAACATTCCAACTAATCTTTTTTTGGCACTTGAAAAGGTTGCATACCGTTTTAGCTCTAAAAGAAGCCCACCCTGTACATGCACTTTGAGCTCAGCTATCTTGCTTCTCATAAGTAATGACAATCTGTTAACTGGAAAAAAATTGATGATATTATGGTAAAGAATTTAAACAGCTATTTCAAAACGAAATATTCTAATTGGAGATCCTAAATTATGTAGAAAAAAAGTGTGACTCCAAAAAAATCGAAAATATTCATTTCAGTTTGTAGCCAAGTTTTTATAACAAAATTTAAAAGATTTTCGATCAAATTAACTGTTTTTGAGCAGAATCAGAGTACAAAACCGTTTTCAAATCAAACATTTTTCCAAAAATAAAAATTTTAAAGCCAAATTTAGAATTTTTTGATAAGCACTGTTTTAATTGAGAATAAGAACTGATATTAGCGATTTCCATTTGTTTTATTGAATTTGGGAAAATTCGAATTATTTTTTATAACTTTTTGTAAACGAAATCGTTGAAAAACAACTTACCGAATCTTGATTGCTCAACTTAAAAATCGCCAGATTGATCCGAGTACATGTACATTCTACTAAGAACTGGTGGTGGCAGTTTTACTGAAAATTGAAGCAACACGAAAAAAAATTTGCTAGACATTCACCACTTACAGATTCAAAAAAATCAAAATTGATGAAAATCGAGGTTCCTACACACGGAGCCTGAAAAGTTAAAATTAGTGAGGAACATATTTGTAATGACTCACCATCGATCATTATCAGAAAACAAACACTCCAAAAAAATAATAATAAATCACTTCAGGTCCAAAAATCAGGACTGGTCCATCCAGTGCTGCAAAAAATTGTTTCTTGTTGATTGAATTAAAAAATTTCAAACTTACATTAGGCTTAATTAACCCAAGTTGATGTATTTCCACTCCTTAAAAATTATCATTATTCATGTGTTTTCAAAATGATAAAAAATTCGAAAAGGAAAGATATTGCAAAATTCATAACCGACTTTTTTAAGATTTAAGATTTGTTGACCAGGGAAAATAAATGAGCAATATTTTTCCGAGGAAGCTGAAAAATCTACGGAAATAACAAGACATAGTCTCGAAAGAAAAACTCATTTTTTCGTTCAAATTGAAAATCAATGTATCGAAAAAAGGAGAGACACGAGAAAAAATTCCGGGAAAAAATCGATGAAGTGGCAGAGGAAGAAGAAAAAGAAATGTGAATAGAGAACTACTATTTGCGAGTAAGAGAAGGAAAAAACCCAGAGAGAATAGAAAAAAGCAGGTATGGTGGTGGAGAAAAGAGAGAGGGAAAGGGAGAGAGAGAGAGACAGAGAGAGACAGAGAGATTCGTTTTTGAGTGTCTGTCTGTGCCACTGAGCGCGCGCGGACGGGCCGACACCACCGACTGTCCTGTAGATCGATTCGCCACCGAGCAGGTGTTGTGAGGTAAAGAGCGAGAGAGGCACATAACAGAAGAAGTAGATCGTGCTCTCCGATCGTGCCCTCAGATTTTCCTGTCATATTGAGAAAGAAGAAACAGAAATCCTAAAACTGCTTATTTCTGGTTTTTTTCTTTTTTCAAAATTTTGTTCATTTTGAGAGAGAGAGCATTTAGCCTTCAAAGGCGAACATTAATCCCTCGATCCCTCACTATTTCGTTTCATTGAACATATCGTTGAACTCCCTTCTCTCATTATTCTCTCCTTTATTCCTCTTTTGCTCTTCGCCTCACAACACCTGCCTGGTGGCATATCGATTCACATTTCTTCCTCCCTCCTTCCTTTGCCATCGGTTTTATACACATACACACAAAAGGGTGGTAGCGACATCGTGTGAGTTTTGAGAGAGGACAGTTGGCGGTGTGGGTCGGTCCGCGCGCGCTCACTGACACAAGCCGAGACTCTAATACAAATCTCTCTCTCTCTTCCACCACCACACCTGCATCTCATCTCTTCTAATTAGTTCTTTTTCTAATTATGCTCGCGTGGCTGTGTCATTTTCCTCCCCGTAGTTTCTTCCTATTTCTCTTTTTTCCCCGATTCATTATTTTTCATATTAAACGAGAAAACGGAATCTTTATACTGAAACTATTTCTCCTTTTTTCCTTAGATTTTTCTATCAGTTTCAGAACTTTTTCATTTTTCTTTCCCTGAAAAAAACATTTCTCATTTATTTTTTCTTTTTAACAATTCTTAATTTCAAAAATGTTTCAATGATTTTTGCATGAACCTTCCTTTTCGAATTCCGCACATTTTTCGAAATTTAAAAATGTTTTTAAGGAGTGGAAATACATCAACTTGGGTCAATTAAACCTAATGTAAGTTTGAAATTGTTTAATTCAATCAACAAGAAACAATATTTTTCAGCACTGGATGGACCAGTCCTGATTTTTGGACCTGAAGTGATTTAATATTATTTTTTTGGAGTGTTTGTTTTCTAATAGTAATCTATGGTGAGTCATTACAAATATGTTCCTCACTAATTTTAACTTTTCAGGCTCCGTGTGTAGGAACCTCGATTTTCATCAATTTTGATTTTTTTTCAATCTGTAAGTGCTGGTGATTGTAACTTGCATCAAATATGACATTTTTGTGTTCTGATAACTAATAACTTTGAGCCTATATGTCTCATTACCCAAGAGCGATATCAAAAACATGTTAACTGATAAAATAACTCGGATATTATGATTAACAATTTATCAGTTTACTACATTTTCATATCTTTTACAGGAACCGGGTTAAATTGGCTCAAAGTTGAAAGTTAGGGTGCCCTTCTATTACGGTAAATTCTTGATAATAGATATCCCGAATTTTCAGCTTACAATCGAAGATACAGACGTCATCTCAAACTTGAAAATGGAAAAAAATGTGTCCTTCTTAGACTACGAGCATTCCGACTTCAATTGGGATAACAAATATAGTGAGTCACTGCTACCGTTCACTTTGAGCTCAAAAGCTCAATATCATTAATGGAGCTCAGACTGTATGTACAGAGGGAACAGAGCAAATACGGGAGTTCAAAATTTAAATTGTTGTCTGTTTCAGCCTTATCGTCAGTGAGCGAGAAACAAAAGCTTGCACTGGAAGTCCTCAAAGCCAGCCACAAGATGTTCAAGCCACACGAAAAGAGAAATTGCCACTGGTCAAGAATCTACAAAAATCCACATCACCGATCAAGAACACAAGGATGTAGCGCAAGCGAATTTCGAGAGGGGTGATTACAGTAGCCACGTGGCCAGATTGAAGAAACAATTGGAAGCAGGGAAGAAGGTGGAGGAAATCGACCAGGTAGTGAAGCAGAAAGGAAACGATTTCCGGACAAAGAAAGATTTCACGAATGAAGATCGAAGCAGTCGACGAGAAATTGAACAACAGCCAGACAGAGCTCAAGGGATTAGAGGAGGGTTGGGAAGCTATAAAATCCATTGCGGCATCTCTCGAGAACTGAATAACCTCAATTCACAACAGGTAAAATGCACTTTTTTTTTAAATGAGACCTCATTAACACTTCTGTAGAATGATTACCCACCCATCACCTTTAAACCCATACATTTTATTGTCTTCAAAACATATCAAAAAGTGGTAAACTGATAAAATGCTTATTACACTATCACCAACATTTTATCAGTTGACAACTTTGTGATATCATTCACAGGAGCCAAGATAAATTGCCTCAAAATAAATATGATACGTTTTTCAGTTGGATCCGGATGAGCAGAGTCTCTTGAGCCAATTCACCAGAAGCAACGGAACCCACGAAGATGAGCCATTGCCAAAAAGGAAACGTCTGGAAGTGAACGAAGAAAAAGAAACATCAAAAAGGTTTTGGATTTTTAACAATAATTCAAATGATACTTCAATTTTTCAGGCGCAGAAGTAACAGAAACTAAATTCCCAGAATGTCAAAAATTCTCTTCGAATTCTCTTTTTTATTGCATCAATAATTTCGTGTTGCTATTTTTTCACATTTCCCCTTGGACAATATTTCGTCATAATTCCTTGAATAAATTCGGATTTTTCTACTGAATTCATGTTGATGCTGAACTTGGAATTATTTTAAATGAGTTAAATCTTGATTGAATTTGAATTTTAAAATTCCGTGAAACCTATAGAAGACTAGAATAGAAGAATGAAAAAAATTTGCACATGAAAAAAAAATCAAAATTTGTAAAAATTTATGACCATAAAAACAATGGTCGTCGGTTTGAATGCAGCGCTACAAATAATGGTAGGTTCACCTTCAAAATGTTTCAAAATTTTTGCAAAACTCTAAAAATTTTAAATTTGACACAAAAGAATTTAGGAAAATTTGCTCAATAAAATTCTTGAAAATGGTAGAAACGCGGAATTAAAACTTGGTTCCGTTCCTTGCTTCCTATTTTTTTTGAAAAATAATGTTTCGTATTTCTTTATAGTTTGCAAAACTTTTTTCTCATTTTGACTTATTTTCTTACTTTGGTTGTTCATCAAACTCAAAGATGAAATGAGTACGACAAAACTACGAACAAAATCAAAAGGTGAAATAAATATGCACCAAGAATCAACGCTTTGTCTTTTTTGTTCGAATTGCTACGTTTTGGAAATCTCAAACAGAAAAAATGAAAAAAAAAAACAATAATTTCCTGGCAATTTTCGCAAAACAAAGCAGTACAATAATGTTTTTTCGTCAAAGTTAGAACAGCTAGAACAAAAAAAAACAATAACTCTATCAATAAAAAACGGGTGAAACAATAACTATAAAATTTCGAGAAATTCGAATAAATTGTCTTTGTTTATGAAGATTTTATAAATCCAATTTCAAAAAAGAGAGAAAAAACTTGTGGTGTAGTTGCTGAAGCACTAGGTTTTGTATTTGTCAGCAAAAATTATACCGATGTCATTTCTTAAATTTCGAGAAAACTCGAACATTCGAAGATTGACACAAATGAATTTCGGAAAATTTGCTCAATGAATATCTGATAAACCCAAAAAAAAAACAGAGTTCAATACCAAGAAAACGTGAAATATTAGATTCGTCCATGAGTTTCTTTTGATTTTGAATACTCAGCTTTGAAAACTGATAATGTTCCTTTCTGCTTCAAATTTGTTTTCCTCCCTCTGGCTTATTTCCTTATTTCTGTTTCTCACCTTGCTCATTAAACTCAACGATGACATGAGTGTGATAAAACTACAAACAAAATCAAAAGGTGAAGTAAATATGCACCAAGAATCTACGCTGTGTCTCTTCTATTCAAAATGCTATTTTTCTAAATATTACGTTCTTCTTCCGCTATACGATTTCGCTAATTGGCATCCGGGTCTCTCGTATAAGATTATGGGTTATGAATATTTTGGAAGTTTCTAGAAAAGTGGGAGGAGCTTAACTAGGTAGAAGTATATCAGCGAAACAACTCAAAGTTAGTCAGATGTTTTCTTATTCTAAACGACTTTTATAAAATTTGTTCGAGAATTTTTGCCATTAAGGCTCGAACATTTTTTTTGCCATTTTTTGTAATCGTTGTTATTTATTGTGTATCTAAATCGAAACTTTTTCAGAATCATGTCTCAAAATGGTTTCCCACGCACAGCTCAATATCTGGTGAGCCACCGCAAAATCAAGGTAGGGAATTGGTGATTATTTATCGTCATCAAGAAATCAATGAAGGTTGAAAATAATTGAGTTTCAGAAAGTCACACTGTATGAAGTCAAATGGCACGGATACGATCACACGTGAGTTTGAAAAATTAATTTCTTTTTTTTTCGAACAAGAGAAACTGGATTTTGGGTTTAAAATTTTTAAAGGTCTTTAATTTTCTTGTAACGTCATTCTAATCTAGGATTTCTAATAGGGAGGGGGGGGTCATTTCACCCGTCCAAACTAATTTGAATGGATTCGAAGGAGTGGAATATTGTCATTAAAAAAAACTGACCGGAAAAATTTTGCTGCGTTTGTGTCGATTTGCGAGGCGCCGCCCAAAAATTGGTATACTGCATTGAAACAATTAATTTCTGGGAGTTTAGTCTTTTAGTGAACAAAATGTTGTTTTCTTGGTAAGGAAATGATCGCTAGAATCTCTAGAATTTGTTTTTCATCAAAAACCAAACATACCGTATTTCCTCTTATCGAAGCCCAACCAAACCGTCAACCTTGAGCTCAATTATCTCGATTTCTGTGAAAGATAATGATAATTGGGTAATTGATAAAATATTGGTGACATTGTGATAAATAGTTTATCAGTAGGCACAATTTTTATATCTCTCGTGGGAATCGAGATAATTGAGCTCAAAGTTGACGGTTTGTGTGGGCTTCTATTAGAGGAAATACGGTGATTGCTGAAATGACTTGAAAGAGACAAATGTCTGAAATATTATAATTTTATAGCATTTTTTCGTAGATCCACAAAATCGACGGCTCTTAAATTCTCAGATGTCAGTTTTTTTCAATTTGACAATATAAACAAACAAGGGAAGGACACTTTAAAAAAGTATATTTAAGACACAACACCTGGGAGTCAGAATCCAATATCACTAACAAAACGTTGATTAAGAAATATTAATCAAATTATGCGAAAGAACAAGAAGCAGTGAGAAGACTCAAAAAGTTACTCAAAGAAGCTGCCAAAGAAAGACAACAGTCAGGACAATTTGGTTCCGAACCCTCTTCCAGTTCTCAGAAAATCAGTGTAGAGGACAAAAGCATTAAAATTGAAGCAGACAATAAAATGGATGACTAATTCAAATTTATTTTATTTTGCTTGTTGTCTTTTTTCCTTTTTTTCTCAAATTTCCCATAGAAAATTTGATAATTTTACTTTCTCTTTTTCACCTTAATTATTCGGCTTCCAAAACTTGAAACTTGAAATGTTGCTGCATCTAAATTTTTCAAAAAACCTTTTGCTATTTTTGGTCTGTCACTAATAAAAAAGTTTGGTGAAAAAAATGTTCTTGCCCCAAAGCGAAAAAACAATCTTGACAAAAAATTTTTGGGAGCTTTTCCACGTATGAGGACTGTAACTTTGAGAGGACATATTGTTGCCTCGGAAATCAAATGGATATGTGCTTAGAAACCGCCGATGACCTAAGTTTTCAGTTCTAGAGGTATAGTTTTAGAGGTACAGTCAGTTTTAGAGGTATCATCTGAATTTTATCACCATTATTAGAATTCTCCATTAGCTGAAAAAAATTCGTAAAGTTGCTAGAATTTTTTAGAAAATCTAAGCACTTCAAAATCTTTTAGAACAGAGAAAGAAGTTCCACAAAGTATTTCTTATAGTTGTTACAGAAATATAGGCAAACTATTTCATAGAGAGCAATAGTGACATTCTGACAAATGAAAAAATGGTACTATTAAAATTGCTCAGAGGGGTGGTCGAATCGTTCCACACATTTTGGCCAATTATCTAAAAAAGGTTCGATGTGACCTGTCACTTTCACTTCTCACCAGGAGACCGACGAGGGACTGGATCAACAAAACTTTTATTTGAGATAATAAACGGGTACAGTATCTCAACTATGTCAGAAAGAGCCAATGGGTCTCTGCACAAGAAAGGGCGAAATCGAGCTCTAAACGGGAAGCTTCCAGAAAAAATCAGATTTTTTGAATTTGGTTAGACAGTGCTGGAGTAATGTCCCGCAAGCTGCTTCCGGGCTCCAGTATCATCAACTCTGGCTCTACGGCTTCCAAATGGAAAGTGATATTTACGCACATCGCCCTCACCTCCAGAAAGGCTTGCTGTTCAAACTATTGCATGACAACGAAAAACCACACAAATATTTGAACACCCGCAGTACGCTCGAGCCTAAAGGAATCAAAATTTTGTTTTACCTAGCGTATACCCCTTATCTGGCACTAATTAATTACCACTTTTTCTTATTTCTCCGAACTGTACAAGGGGGTACAAATGATTTAGGGGTACAAAATTGGTGATTCGCGGGTACAAAATTCGTGGGTACAAAAATTCGGGGGTACAACGATTCGGGGGTACAATCTACCAATGATTCTGGGGTATAATTTATTTCATTTATGGGTACAACGTTTGTGATTCGGGGGTACAATTTTTTTTTCACGAAGTTTCTGAAATCCTGAATTTCAGAGCTTGAAAATCCTAGAATTCGGAATCTGAGAATTTCGAAACTTCAGAGTCTGAGAATTTGAAAATTTCAGAACTTCAAAATCTCAGAATTACAGAACTTCAGAATTCTTAGAATTTCAGAACTTTGGAATTCCAGAATTCGCAATCTGAGAATTCCGTAACTTTAGAATCTGAGAATCTGAGAATTTCGGATCTTCAGAATCTGATAATGCTAAAAATTAAAAATCTCAGAACTTCGGAACTTCAAAACTTCAGGACTTCAGAATCTCAATATTTCAAGAAAGACAATGAGAACTGTGAAATTATTTTAACAAATTTTACAAACGGATTTTAATGCCAGTCGATACTTTCCTCACTTCCAATTTTTCTCAATTTTAATTCTTAATTCTTTTTCATTTCCTTTTGTTTCTCAATATTCCTTCGTTTTTTCCCAATTTTTCTTAATTTTTCTCTATTTTTGCGGTAATTAAAATTTTTCTCATTTTTAAATGATTTTCTAGATCATTGATTGAAGGAAACAATCACAATTTAGATATTTCCCACAAAATTCGAAAATTCCAAAAATTGGCCCTAAATGAGCTATTTTCTTTCGAAAATCGTTCGAACAGGCTATAAAACATTACAAAAACTATAAAATTGATTTTTTTTTCGATAAATTACCACAAAAATTTGAGCAAAAATGATGAAAAACGAAGGAAAACGGAGAAAAATGGGAATTGCGAAAAGATCTCAATTTCGCAAAATTTTCCCATCCCAGCTCGGCCACGGCCATGAACTGATGACGTCATCGCTTGCAAATTTCATTTTTGGAATCTTCTCCGTTTTCCTTCGTTTTTCATCATTTTTGCTCAAATTTTCGTGGTAATTGGTCGGAAAATTTTTTTTTAATTTTTGTAATGTTTTATTGCCTGTTCGAACAATTTTTGATAGAAAATAGCACATTTTGGGGGATTTTTTGGGCTTTTCGAATTTTGTGGGAAATAGCTAAATTGTGATTGTTTCCTTCGATCAATGATATAAAAAATTGTTTAAAAAGGAGAAAAATTTAAATTACCGCGAAAATTGTGGAAAATTGAGAAAAATTGGAAAATTGAGAAAAATTGGGAAAAAGACGAAGGAATATTGAGAAACAAAGGGAATGGAAATAGAATTGAAAAAACAAGGAATTGAGAAAAATTGGCATTGAGGAAAGTATCGGCTGGGTTTTGAACTTAAATTAAGCATTAAAAAACTGAGTTCGTAAAATTTGTCAAGTTTAGCTTATTATCAAAAAGAACAATGTGACAATGAGAAGTGATTTCTGTCGTTCGAAATTCTCAGATACCGAAATACTGAAGTTCCAAAGTTCTGAAATTCTGAGATTCTTAAATTTGGAAATTCTCAGATTCTGAAGTTCCGAAATTCTCAGATTCCGAATTCTGGAATTCTAAGAATTCTGAAGACAATGAATTTCTGCTGTAATTATTGAAAATTCAGAAATATTGAGATTCTGAAGTTCTGAGATTTTGAAGTTTTGAAATTCTGAGATTCTCAGATTGTCAGATTCTGAAGTTCCGAAATTTTCAGGTTCCTAAATACTGAAATTCCAAAGTTCTGAAATTCTAAAAATTCAGAGATTTTCAAGCTCTGAAATTCAGGAATTAAGATACTTCGTCAAAAAAAAAATTGAACCCCCGAATCGCAAACGTTGTACTCCTAAATGAAATAAGTTGTACCCCAGAATCATTGGTAGATTGTACCCCCGAATCATTGTACCCACCGAATTTTTGGCCATTGAAATCACCCAACTTTTGTTGCGCTGGCAAAAAGTTATAAACTCCAACAGTGAATACATTTTTTATTGATTCTTATTTTCCTTGAAGAAAACGCCTCTCGAAGAAAAGTGTCAAAGACTTTTTGGACAACCTAATACATATCACACTTCAAACTTTAAAATAATTATAATACCTCAATTTATGTGTAGGAGAAAAGGGGTTATGTCAACGTTTAGGGACATCACACTCACCTGAGATATACATGTGTATGGGAAAGTAGAATGGTATGACTGCTCAGTCACGGTGACCTAGACATTTCTCTTGAACTTAGATGATATTCTTCTGTTCGAATCTGACGTCAATGATATAGAACTTTCAGAAACTCAGTCAGACAGACGTCTAAAGTAGGATTATGCTTATCCTCAAATAAAAGTACGAAATTTCAGATTACTATAGTTTTCGAAATTTGCATCTTTTCGATTTTCTGGCTAAAGGAAAAATTTACAAAATTTCTACTGACCATCGTGTGGAGGGGTTTTGATTTATTTTCAGTTTATCCGGTTACTGTACTTCGGAAAGTCTTTTTTGCTCTGGGAAAACCGAATGACATTCGAAGCAAACAAAATTATACAAATGATTGTTTTCTCTATTTCACAATAAGTTTCATATTGAACTGTCATTTTTGTTATTTTCAACAATTTTCTCTATTTTCAACCCATTTTTATATACTTGTAAATTTGTTGATTTTTAACAAACCTTCCTCGGCCCCACACGCTAGACAGTCATTTCTGACAACCTTGGTCAAAACATCCAAAAATTTGAGACCACCGTGACGTAGTGGTAGTCTTCAGCGCCTTTCCCATACATATGCATGATGTAGGTTAGTGTGATGACCCTAAAATACATATTGGAAATAATGTATTGATTTTCAGAGAGTGTGGCGTATTGATTTTCAGAGAGGGACACCGTGCGTCAATCCAATGACATTCAACCACATACATAAACCCTTACAATCAGTTCCCCCTTATGACGACTTTCTGAATAGACGTCTGACCATTTTCCCCGAAAACTCTCCAAAAATCTTGTAAATGAATGGATTTTGGAGAGTTTGTCCGTTATTTTTCTGAGTATTCCAACTGCTATTTCTTTCTAGAAATTTTTTGAGAAATCCTATTAATGAATATGGTTTCGAAAATTTCTTACTATAATTGATTTTACCTGAAAAAGCGAGAGGTTAGTTTTCAAAATCGTTTTATAAAAGTTACTCGTATTTCTCGCATTTGTTTGAAAATCTAACTGTACACACTTCGGCTGATAAACTAGTCATTTCCTTTTTTTGAAGACATTGGATTCAATCTACATATACCAAAAAAGGAAAATGCCTCTTCGATCCATTGGCCATTCGTGATTGCTATCGATGCATATGGACAAAATTCCAGGCGATGGAGGAAAAAAAAGTTGAATATGAGTACATTTCCAGTTTAAATCTAGACATCTCTCATGAACTTGGGTCGTCTTCTTCTGTCTGCATCTGACATCATCGGCCTGAAAATTTGAAGCGTCAGTCAGACAGACCCGGTTGTAGATTTGTGTTGATGTTAAACAAATATATCGGATTACTGTGGTTTTAGAAATTCGAATTTTGCGATGTTTTGACGGACGAAAAACTTTTAGAACTTCAATAGAACATTGTATTGAAAAAATTATATTTGTTTCAAGTGTGTCGGGTCATTTTACTCCGGAAAGTCCGGAAACACTAAATTTCTCGAAATCTGGCAACGAGCGTTTCAATAAATTGTGTCCAGGGATGATGATTGAAATTTGCAATTAAACACAAAAAATCAAAAGCTTTGAAAATTAAGGTTGCTATTTTCCATAAAAATGTGTTTTTCTCATAATTCAAAGAGAGCCTCAGAGAACTTCAGTATTTTTCTGAAGCTTTTTTTTGTAATAAGGGAAAAAGGTTACATATTAGTGTGCCAAGAGTTAGAAAATGTCCGAGCAACAGATGATGTCACTGTGTCTTTCAAACATAGGGACTGCCAGAATACAATGAAATTACGGAGATTAAGACGAACAATCGTCTATCAACAGGTTCATTGCAATATAACCTTCCCAGAAGAGCTAGTGGCACACCAACCCATTTAGCAGTTATTGTAAACGAACAGTCGGCCACGCTCACACAACCCTCTTTCCTTTTTCTTTCTTTTTTAGTCATTCGTATTTTACTCGCACGATGTGATTGGTGTGTCTCCTCTCTAGTATTCTTCTCGTAAGTTCTAAAAGTGTATGGATTTGGGGATAACGCTTTTATTTTCCTGAAATTATTCTGATTCCTTTAACCCAAAAACCCTGAATCAATTTGAATAATTATCTTCCTACTACTATTTCAAATATTATAATTACTTTAAGAAATTGAAGGTTAGAACAAGTTGCTGTAATATTTTCATTGTTTGGAAAATTAACCAGAAATTATAAGCCACCGTTGGGAATTTTAATTTTCTGTCCTTCTGTCAAATATAAAAAATTCAAAACATTAGAAATTTGAAAAATTGAACTGGTTCCGACATCCTGTTAGTAAGAATCTCAAAAATTTAGAAGCTAGGTACTTTCACAAACCTTACATATTGACAATTGTCGTCCTGAATTGAAACTGATTAACAATTAAAAATATTGAAAATTAAAATATTTAACAATTAAAATTCCCTCGCAAAGACATTTTCTTTCTCTCTCTCTCTTTCTACCCTTAATAGGAACAATTTTTCAGCAACCCACTGTTCATCACCAGCAAGGTCTTCGTGTGCCTCTACGAAAAAGACGGCTCCAAATTCCCCTATTCCGCCGAAATCATGGCAATCAAAGAGATCGGAGGAACCCAATACTACATGATCCACTATAGAAGACGGAAGAAAACCACAGACATTCGAATTCCAATAGGAGAGGAGAATGGAAGAATGTTCAATGGGACTTTGAAGGAGTATGGAGACAAATTCAACGTGGAGATTTCTTCAGATGCCTGGGAAGCTGAGAAGAAGGACAAAAGGAAGGCTGTGGATGATTTGGAGACGAGTTTGGAGAAGAAGGGAGAACTGTGGAGGAGAATACATATGTCTTATAGTGTCTTTTTTAAATAAATTTTTCTTTCATCTATGTTCTATTGTAATGTTCCTGTTATATTGAGGTTTCGTTCTCCAATCGTGGTGCAATAACCAACTTTTTGATTGTGTGTTTTTTAAATCTTTCCATTTGTGTGATGATAAACAATGGAATATGACGGTTTGCAATCATGAACCTTTGCATTTATTGCAGAATCTGACGCGATAGTTATAAATGTGATTTATCCACTATCTAGGTAGGCGACACCTGATCTACTAACTTTTTGTACTAAAGAGAAAGCACATTTAACGTGGACAAAAGAAACTGAGACTCTTCATTTTCCCAGTTATACAGTGATGTTTGCTCGCATCTCCATTTGTCGAGCATCATGATACGAAAAAAAGATGAATTGTTCGGTTAAGAACAATACTTTCAAAAAATTAAACGGAAGGAAATAATATTCCTGTTTTGCCAGTTGCCACACACTCCAACTACATGAGATTCAATCACTGAAATTCTTGCAGTTAGATTTTTCAAATTTACCACATTTTATACTTCAAAAACGTTAGGTAGAAATAAAATCTGATTGAAAATAAACTGAATGTCATAAAATTGTTGATTTACCTGCACAAAAAAAAGACTTTTGATTATGGTTTGTGCAGTAGAAGTTAGCAGACATTTGGATGTCCAGTTTAGAGACTAAGACTAAATAACTTATTCATTATTTATCATTATTCTTTGGAGAATGCAGCCTTTTATGGTGCATCGACTTAAAAATCCCAAAAAGTTCCTGCACTTATTTACAACTCCGTACTCTTCTTTACCACATTTCAAATATATTCATAATCCATTCATATCTTTTCTGTGGGATATTTACACATCACCCCAATAAATCATTCATTAAGTTTAGAGTCAGGTATCAAATTCACATTCCTAGAATTCTCAACGTTGTTCTTTGTGACACTCGGGGGGCTTCCGGAGGTTTGACAGAAGTTCTCCAACTCCATTGAGCTTTTTGGTGGAACAACACTTCTCGATCACTTGCGTACCATCTCGTTCTTCTGGACTTCCGGAATTGGACAGGTATTTTCTCAGGAAAGCGTCCTGAATTCTCTGAAGATCTTGAGCATCTGGACAATGGCGGAATGGTTTGCACCTTTTGTTCTGAATCAATTTCGTTCATATGGTAAAAACTATTTCAACTAACTTACGATGAGTAGTTCAAGGAAATTTGACCCGGTGTAGTCTCGATCAAGTTAGCATGAAGACGTCTATTCAGAAAGTCGTCATAGTGAAGAAATGATGAAATTACTGGTTGATGGTTTGCCTGCTTTCCTTTTCCTAATGTGTGCAGATGTATGAAATACTCAAAAACACTGTCGCATTCTTGCTTGCGGTTGCTTAGATAGAATGAACCGTACTAGAGACGAAAGAGAAAACTAATATGTTTCTGTTCGTTTGAAATTGAGAGGACGCCAGATAGGAGAGGGGAAGAAAGGGTGACAAATTGTGAGAAAAAAAGAGAGAGTGCCACCGTAAAAGATAACCTTTTAATGCAAATAGGTTTTGAAATTCTAACATTTTATTCGAGATCAGCTCTTTTAGCTTTCAAATGAGACCCAACAAGTAACCCATACTGTTCCCTATTTTTCAATCTTTTCTTCCCATGTTTTTTAGGCTAACAAGAAAAACAAAACTGAACAAACCATAATCAAAAGTATTTTTTTGTGCAGGTGAATCAACAATTTTATGACATTCAGTTTATTTTCAATCAGATTTTATATCTATCTAACGTTTTTGAAGGATAAAATGTGGTAAATTCGAAAAATCTAACTGCAAGAATTTCAGTGATTTGAATCTCATGTAGTTGGAGTGTGTGGCAACTGGCAAAACATGGATATTATTTCCTTCCGGTTCATTTTTTGAAAGTATTGTTCTCAAGCGAACAATTGATCTTTTTCTCATATCATGATGCTTGACAAATGGAGATGCCAGTACACATCACTTTATAACTGGAAAAATGAAGAATCCTAGTTTCTCTTGTCCCAGTTAATGTCCTTTAGCACAAAAAGTTAGTAGATCAGGTCTCGCCTACCTGGATAGTGCATAAATCACATTTATAACTATCGCGTCAGATTCTGCAATAAATGCAAAGGTTCACGATTGCAAACCGTCACATTTTATTGTTTATCATCACACAAATGGCAAGATTTAAAAAACACACAATCAAAAAGTTGGTTATTGCACCACGATTGGAGAACGAAACCTCAATATAACAGGAACATTACAATAGAACATAGATGAAAGAAAAATTTATTTAAAAAAGACACTATAAGACATATGTATTCTCCTCCACAGTTCTCCCTTCTTCTCCAAACTCGTCTCCAAATCATCCACAGCCTTCCTTTTGTCCTTCTTCTCAGCTTCCCAGGCATCTGAAGAAATCTCCACGTTGAATTTGTCTCCATACTCCTTCAAAGTCCCATTGAACATTCTTCCATTCTCCTCTCCTATTGGAATTCGAATGTCTGTGGTTTTCTTCCGTCTTCTATAGTGGATCATGTAGTATTGGGTTCCTCCGATCTCTTTGATTGCCATGATTTCGGCGGAATAGGGGAATTTGGAGCCGTCTTTTTCGTAGAGGCACACGAAGACCTTGCTGGTGATGAACAGTGGGTTGCTGAAAAATTGTTCCTATTAAGGGTAGAAAGAGAGAGAGAGAAAGAAAATGTCTTTGCGAGGGAATTTTAATTGTTAAATATTTTAATTTTCAATATTTTTAATTGTTAATCAGTTTCAATTCAGGACGACAATTGTCAATATGTAAGGTTTGTGAAAGTACAAAAAAAAATAAATTTTTGAGATTCTTACTAACAGGATGTCGGAACCAGTTCAATTTTTCAAATTTCTAATGTTTTGAATTTTTTATATTTGACAGAAGGACAGAAAATTAAAATTCCCAACGGTGGCTTATAATTTCTGGTTAATTTTCCAAACAATGAAAATATTACAGCAACTTGTTCTAACCTTCAATTTCTTAAAGTAATTAGAATATTTGAAATAGTAGTAGAAAGATAATTATTCAAATTGATTCAGGGTTTTTGGGTTAAAGGAATCAGAATAATTTCAGGAAAATAAAAGCGTTATCCCCAAATCCATACACTTTTAGAACTTACGAGAAGAATACTAGAGAGGAGACACACCAATCACATCGTGCGAGTAAAATACGAATGACTAAAAAAGAAAGAAAAAGGAAAGAGGGTTGTGTGAGCGTGGCCGACTGTTCGTTTACAATAACTGCTAAATGGGTTGGTGTGCCACTAGCTCTTCTGGGAAGGTTATATTGCAATGAACCTGTTGATAGACGATTGTTCGTCTTAATCTCCGTAATTTCATTGTATTCTGGCAGTCCCTATGTTTGAAAGACACAGTGACATCATCTGTTGCTCGGACATTTTCTAACTCTTGGCACACTAATATGTAACCTTTTTCCCTTATTACAAAAAAAAGCTTCAGAAAAATACTGAAGTTCTCTGAGGCTCTCTTTGAATTATGAGAAAAACACATTTTTATGGAAAATAGCAACCTTAATTTTCAAAGCTTTTGATTTTTTGTGTTTAATTGCAAATTTCAATCATCATCCCTGGACACAATTTATTGAAACGCTCGTTGCCAGATTTCGAGAAATTTAGTGTTTCCGGACTTTCCGGAGTAAAATGACCCGACACACTTGAAACAAATATAATTTTTTCAATACAATGTTCTATTGAAGTTCTAAAAGTTTTTCGTCCGTCAAAACATCGCAAAATTCGAATTTCTAAAACCACAGTAATCCGATATATTTGTTTAACATCAACACAAATCTACAACCGGGTCTGTCTGACTGACGCTTCAAATTTTCAGGCCGATGATGTCAGATGCAGACAGAAGAAGACGACCCAAGTTCATGAGAGATGTCTAGATTTAAACTGGAAATGTACTCATATTCAACTTTTTTTTCCTCCATCGCCTGGAATTTTGTCCATATGCATCGATAGCAATCACGAATGGCCAATGGATCGAAGAGGCATTTTCCTTTTTTGGTATATGTAGATTGAATCCAATGTCTTCAAAAAAAGGAAATGACTAGTTTATCAGCCGAAGTGTGTACAGTTAGATTTTCAAACAAATGCGAGAAATACGAGTAACTTTTATAAAACGATTTTGAAAACTAACCTCTCGCTTTTTCAGGTAAAATCAATTATAGTAAGAAATTTTCGAAACCATATTCATTAATAGGATTTCTCAAAAAATTTCTAGAAAGAAATAGCAGTTGGAATACTCAGAAAAATAACGGACAAACTCTCCAAAATCCATTCATTTACAAGATTTTTGGAGAGTTTTCGGGGAAAATGGTCAGACGTCTATTCAGAAAGTCGTCATAAGGGGGAACTGATTGTAAGGGTTTATGTATGTGGTTGAATGTCATTGGATTGACGCACGGTGTCCCTCTCTGAAAATCAATACGCCACACTCTCTGAAAATCAATACATTATTTCCAATATGTATTTTAGGGTCATCACACTAACCTACATCATGCATATGTATGGGAAAGGCGCTGAAGACTACCACTACGTCACGGTGGTCTCAAATTTTTGGATGTTTTGACCAAGGTTGTCAGAAATGACTGTCTAGCGTGTGGGGCCGAGGAAGGTTTGTTAAAAATCAACAAATTTACAAGTATATAAAAATGGGTTGAAAATAGAGAAAATTGTTGAAAATAACAAAAATGACAGTTCAATATGAAACTTATTGTGAAATAGAGAAAACAATCATTTGTATAATTTTGTTTGCTTCGAATGTCATTCGGTTTTCCCAGAGCAAAAAAGACTTTCCGAAGTACAGTAACCGGATAAACTGAAAATAAATCAAAACCCCTCCACACGATGGTCAGTAGAAATTTTGTAAATTTTTCCTTTAGCCAGAAAATCGAAAAGATGCAAATTTCGAAAACTATAGTAATCTGAAATTTCGTACTTTTATTTGAGGATAAGCATAATCCTACTTTAGACGTCTGTCTGACTGAGTTTCTGAAAGTTCTATATCATTGACGTCAGATTCGAACAGAAGAATATCATCTAAGTTCAAGAGAAATGTCTAGGTCACCGTGACTGAGCAGTCATACCATTCTACTTTCCCATACACATGTATATCTCAGGTGAGTGTGATGTCCCTAAACGTTGACATAACCCCTTTTCTCCTACACATAAATTGAGGTATTATAATTGTCTTAAAGTTTGAAGTGTGATATGTATTAGGTTGTCCAAAAAGTCTTTGACACTTTTCTTCGAGAGGCGTTTTCTTCAAGGAAAATAAGAATCAATAAGAAATGTATTCACTATTGGAGTTTATAGCTTTTTGCCAGCGCAACAAAAGTTGGATGATTTGAATGGCCAAAAATTCGGGGGGTACAATGATTCGGGGGTACAAGGGGGTACAACTGATTTAGGGGTACAAAATTGGTGATTCGGGGGTACAAAATTCGTGGGTACAAAAATTCGGGGGTACAACGATTCGGGGGTACAATCTACCAATGATTCTGGGGTACAACTTATTTCATTTAGGGGTTCAACGTTTGTGATTCGGTGGTACCATTTTTTTTGACGAAGTTTCTGAAATCCTGAATTTCAGAGCTTGAGAATCTCAGAATTCGGAATCTGAGAATTTCGAAACTTCAGAGTCTGAGAATTTGAAAATTTCAGAACTTCAAAATCTCAGAATTACAGAACTTCAGAATTCTTAGAATTTCAGAACTTTGGAATTCCAGAATTCGCAATCTGAAAATCCCGTAACTTCAGAATCTGAGAATCTAAGAATTTCGGATCTTCAGAATCTGATAATGCTAAAAATTAAAAATATCAGAACTTCGGAACTTCAAAACTTCAGGACTTCAAAATCTCAATATTTCAATAAAGACAATGAGAACTGTGAAATGATTTTAACAAATTTTACAAACGGATTTTAATGCCAGTCGATACTTTCCTCACTTCCAATTTTGCCCAATTTTATTTCTTAATTCTTTTTCATTTCCTTTTGTTTCTCAATATTCCTTCGTTT